TACACGTTTGGCCAATCAATGTCTACTTGCGTCACGATTAGTACCAGTTGTGCTGGTTAGACCCTGCTCCGGAGTAGGAGCTAATTTGGTTCTCGAAAAAGGCAGTCCGGTACTAAAATCGCACCCAGTTCCGGCGGTGCAAAAACGCCAAAAAGTGGATAGTTCCACAATTAGTTCTGGTACTATGAAAAGGTTCCCGTGGTGCGAAAGGCCCTATATATGCAACATATATGCAATAATGGCAATATTATTCCCCAATATATAATTTAATCATGACAATAAAATTCCCAGTGCATTTCACGTCGGCATACTGATGCCAAGGGTTTCTTATTTAAAGCAATGGAGGATGCTGCACGTCGAAAAATTATGCTAGAGGGGTACCCTGTGCGTCAAAAAGCTACTCCAAAGGGTCCTGACCAAGCGTCAATATGTGATGAGTTGGGAGTGAGAATGTGTTGTCTACTGAAGTTCCTCGTCACCGTTGACTCGCGCCTGTCACCTGAGGCGAAGTGGAATGCACTTCAGAAAAGTCTCCTGTTTGATGTGGTTGTAAAGACGTTCTTACTTGGGGTCAGAGGTCACTGTTCCATCGCTCAGTACTGGAGGTTCTCTCATAGAGTCAGTACTCTTTAAAGACACTGCTGTCTGAGTCTGATCATCTCTCTCCTCATGGGGACTCATTGTAGAGGCAATGCCTCCCGCCTTTCTCTCCAGAATTAGTGATCTGTTTGAGGAAACACAATACATGGAAGATACACAACATTTTAACACATTAAAAAAAATCTGTAGATTAAAAACTCAATTACTTTAAAGTTAGTAACTCTTGGCTTATTACTCCACATCAGATTGAAAACTAAAATATGTATATGCATAAATTTCATGACATATTTTATTAGTATGTCTTATTGCCATCTACAGCAGTTGTGTTACAAAACATTCTTAAACGTCTTATGAATAATACATTATAGTACGACTAGGGATGCACCGAATGTTTGGCAACCGAAATTCGGCCTTCGGCCCAGTGTTTCATTTTGTTCGGTTTCGGCTTTGGCCAAGAATTTTTATTTGGGTGCATCCCTAAGTACGACTTGTATTAATGTACGATGTAGATTTTTATCAGGGCAACAATATATAATAGATAAGATAGAACAAATAAATAGGTAAACTATTGTTATATTCTTAAACATCTTACGAATAACACATTCTTTATAGTACGACTTGAATGTAGACTTTTAACAGGGCAACAGATAGACAGGTTAGAACAAATAAATACTGGTATATTATTTCATTTTATTGCGTAAACCTATCATAGCATGAAAGTCTCCAACACTGTTGGGGGTAAGACATTACAAGTAACGCAAGTTATGTAATCAGATTAAATTTTTTTCAAGTAAAAAATAAATTTGACTTTTTACATTACTGTTAAATTTACAACAAAATATCCGAGTTACTTTTTCAAATAAGTAATGTACTTTGTTTTCACATTTATTCACTGACAGCTCTCCTGTCCCCATATTGAGAGAAATGGGGAGTGAGGTGCAGAGGCACTTCCTTCAGCCCGAGGTTTATTAATTTCACTTTTGGTGTGAAAGCGCCTTTACAGTTGCCAAAAATATAACTTTTGGGTTTTTTGATATTAAAAACAAATAAACAAGCCCAGCATAGGTGACAAAAATGTAACTGACATAAAAGTAATGTAATGCATTACTTTCCATAAAAAGTAAATAAGTAACACAATTAGTTACTTTTTTATAGAGTAACACATTATGGTATTGCATTACTTTTAAAAGTAACTTTCCCCAGCACTGGTCTCCAATGCACAGCAGCACAAAAGCAATTTAAATCAACCTGACTGGGTAAGCCTCGCTGTGAACTGAAGGAGAGAAAGGTAAAAAAAAAAAAAAAAAGCACTGAAAGACAATACATTGTCCAGAAATGACAACATAGCAAGGTCTATTATCCCTTCTATCGTTTTCAATTGCGGTGCAAAGAGAAAACAGTTA